CCCCCCCCCCCCAATACATTTTACTGGATCCGCCACTGAGAACGTGTGATATCAAGGTCGCAGAACCAAATCAACCAATACGACATTTTTGTTTTACAATGCCTAAAAACAAAAGAGCATCGATTGAACTCAAAGATGTAATGTCGATAATTTACATATGTTTAATAGATTTTGTGATTTGTAAATGGAACTTTTTAATTTGAAGGTCTTTCATTTGTTATCGTCGTTCAATTTAGTTTCTTTCGTGTTTGAATTTTATCATGTTTGGTCGCATCCTCGTATAGGTGTCTTGTGGCGAGAGTGGCTGTAAAGTCACACACATATATTATTCAAAAAAAGAATACATGTATCAACAAAAACCTGATATACTGTCTGATCAATTGGATTACAACAGCATGTACAACATCCAACGCACAGTTAACACTTAACACGTAACTATCCCAATATTGACCGACCAGTTTCTATACTCCCTTGGTATTGACAATTCTCTTATTTCTGTCTTGTTATTTTTCAACTTATAGTACGGCACTTACCAAATCATAAGTTAAAATATCGCGAAGCCGCTTTCGCACAATGATTTCTGATGTTTTTTAAAACAAAATGTCCAAATATTCGGAAGATTTTGTAGCCGAAATTCTATATAACTGGTGTTGGTGTCACTGAAGTGCAGTAGTAAACGACGTTGCTACTACTAGTATTAATAACCGACAAGATCTGAGCAATTTGGTGCAACAACTTACTTTCAAAAGGTTGAAGATAAAATGGCGGGAAAGACAACTGGAGATAGCGGAACATCTTAACGAAATCCAATTATTTTGGCAGATAACAAATACAACGTTGAATATATCTACTACATGCATTTATTATACTTAAAAAAAAAATAGTTTCCAATGACAAGTGCCCGCAGATAGGCGTATCAGGTAAACAGACGCAGACGTCCCGCGTAGCGTACGTCACTGCGGAACCCGGATATTAGTACGAGTTGTTGTCATGGAGACTGTTGCGATGCTCGAGACTCAGTTGTCTGCCTACAGGCATTCTGAACAGATGTTCCAAGCACAACTGACAAACTCACTTGTGTTTAGTCGTTCGGTATTTACAATCGTGCCGTAGGACCGCTCTCTAAAATATCACAATGAGGTTACAGGTTTTTTCACTGGCTCTTGTGTTGAGCATTTCTGTTTGTAAGTATATGTAGTTCATACAGCCGAAATGTGTTAGTTAGCTTTTTTTGGCGGGCGCTCATATTGATGTCGTCCGGTCTACAAAACTGTGTACCTTGTCGCTTTTAACACTGTTCCTGAATCGTTTGAGTCAGCACATTGAACTGAAATTGTAAGGTATCAATGCATAGTGCATGAATAACATGGCTATGGAAAAAATACTAAAACCATGACTGTTTTTCCACAAACTTAGCAAGATGTCAGTCTGAAGATCTTGTTCATTCTGTACGGCGCCGTGCCGCGCGATTGTCGTAAATGTGTTGCGACATTTTGTTTCAAGACGTTTGTATTTATTCCAGTCACATAAAATGCTCAAGAAAACTATTATAAATGTATAATTTAGGGAAGATGTAAAGATATGCGACCGAGTATTCCGTATATCAACATTATTCCATACAACACTTTCAAATATTTAGTATTGTGCCGCACAATTTTTTTTTTACGTACTGTACTCCAACTTGCCGAACACTGCACATTTTCTTGCAAAACTAAATATTCACAGGCTGTTATTTTCACTGGGATATGTGATGTGTTGTATTGCGAATAACAAAATAATATATTTGTAGATCGCGTGCCTCCACTGGTTTTGCGTTGGGGCTTTTTACTCTGATTTGGATATGTCACTTTGGCTCCAAAACTAGGAGTAAATTACTATGTTTAGTTGTTCAGTGCCATGAATAATTAACTTTTCATGTTCACTACTGAATTAATAATGTGTATGTTTTATTGTTGTGTAGCTTTGCAAGGATCAATAGCATCGACAGCGACTGCAGGACCAATCATTTCAAATAATACAACTCCAGTCCCACTTGAAACCACCGGAGGCACTGATGGACCAATGCCAACATCGGGACCAGCTTGGTGTTTTACCTGCGATGAAGAAACCGATAATGATGAATGCAACTATGTAAGTATGAAGTACAAAATTTAAATAATTATAGGCTCCACGCTCCTGCATGCAAAAAAACGCTGTGTGAGGGTGTTGAAACTTGGTTTAACCAAAGTTATGTGGTAACAATTGGACATCTAGTTCTAATACTGAAAAACATAATATGTGAAAAAAAAAGTTGGATGCATGATATAAACCAGAAATAAAGTGATACACAAGCTTCAACAAGTAAATTGGATTGCATGGTTCCTAAATTCATGTGTAGCTAATATGAATCTTAAATGAAAATTAAAAAAATAACATGCCATTATTTTAAAACAATGCAGTTATATACTGTCATCAACTTAAGGTGCAAGTTAGTCACTTGTACAGTCAGATAGTTGTTAGCTACATTCGCATTCTTCATTGATTGCTATGAATAAAATAACTTTAATAAACTAAAATTAACTTTTTTAATTTAATAACTTTAACGTTTTTATTTAATAGTCCAGAAAATGACATGATAAGTAATCATTTTTTCAGGCAGCAGATGGAACAAACAATATGGAGTACTGTGAATCGCAGGGTGATATCTGTGTAACCACAATGAAATTTAATGAAAGGGGTAATGGATATCGTATTGAACACAAAGGATGTTTAAATCATGTAAGTATGAATGTAGGAACCGATGAAAATCATCAGTAAAGCTCACTTTATTGCCATTGTAATCACAGTGTATATCACTGTGTCATATTGAGTATTACTTTACAGGTAAAGGAATTATTTATAATTATGATGTTTCAGATGCACAGTGACAGGGATTTGATCTAGAGTAAATAAAAATCAATAAATCTCTATTCTATTGCGCCCACAAACCCATTCCCTTGATTTTTAGAAATATTTATAAATTTCACAATTTAAACTGAAACAAGAGATTTCTATTGGCAAATGGAATAACGTTGAAACATTTTCAAATGACATCTTTGTGCACAACACTGGTTGATAAGCTGGTTGTATTTATAAAAATGGGAATGGGTTTGTATTTGTGATAGTAAGCACAGAATTAAATGTTTTATGTATGATCTCTTTTTCTGAATCAGTCGAATAGCCCTTTACTATTGCTGCAATAAACAAACCATTCAAATTTGACCTTGGTATAATAGATTTAACCTGAATTTGCCAGTCAAAGTTGGTGCAGCTAAGGCAAACATTTAAAACAGAATAGTACGAGATTTCTAGTATTCAGTATCCATCAATCAGATAGCAGGATTCCCAACTTCTATTCTTTATAAATTCTCTAAATGCAAGGTCGAGTTTCATTTAGAACATGGCTGGGCCATTTCTACCAATCAGGTAAATGGATTCACGATCTCTATTTTTTGTAGAGATTAGAATGTGAATGTGTCATTTGGAACAGACATTGGAATGCATGGAACTGCCTAAGCTCTATTCTATACTCAATTTGTAGCAAAAGCCATGTTGAGTATATGTCAAGCAACACTGACACAGTTTTAGTGACGAGCGATAGTGAACTGAACATATTATTGACAAAAATTGCAAACGATACATTCAACTTTGATATTGCAGCCATATTAGGAGTTGGTTCAAAGATGACAAGGATTTTTTACATGCTTCTGAAGTCACTCATACCATGTAAAAAAAAAAAACCTTTTATGTTCTCACCTTCACTTTCCATTGTTGCCTGATTTAAACACAGAATGACTTTGATCAAATATCTTGCTGAAGTTATCCCAGCATTTCGTGTTTTATATTTTACCTCTTGGCCATTTGTGTTAAACCTCAAATTTGAGTAACTACGAAATATTGAAGAAAACTATGACAAAAGTGTGAAATAACTGAAGAAAATCTCCCAACAATGCCAAAAACACAGACTACATGCTGCTATGCGGTATATACTGATATAGAGCGCGATTTCAAATCAGTAACATGCTACCATTGACTACAGCGGTATTTCCATAAAGAACAAAAAAGTTCTTTTATTAATCAATGCTTGATACTTTTCTGGGAAATTATTCGAAAATTCACTGCTTATTTATTTCAAGACAAATGTTAACCAAAGGAAACACATGCCATGTTTTATTTGCTATTTTCTTTGCATTCCTTTTTAATTCTGAATTAATATGGAGTAGAACAAGTGTTCTATGGTTATAAATTTTGATCATGTGTTAGTGCACAGGAATGTAAAAACAAATTCATCACGTTTTGTAACCAATTTTTTATTATTGCTGGGGCACCTACCGTAATTAATCAGTCTGAATTTTGTTAAAGTGACCAAACATAATCAAATAAACTAACAATTGTCTTTCACTTTACAGGGAGAGTGTTACGATATGCTTTGGGAAGAAATGTTTGATCCTGAATTAATGAGCTGTCATGGTGGCGAAATCGTAACTCCTGGACTCACGTGCAACTATTGCTGCTCAATATTCCAGATGCCTGCATGTAATGAGGATTTCATTTGGTATTTACAAGTCCCAGAAGTGAATGAATGGAACGATGCCCTTGACTTGCCTGGTGCTGCAACCACGCCAACTGCACACAGTGTTGCAGTAATGCTAATGACAGTTTTAGCATCAGCCTTGTACTTTTAATAAATTCAAATTCCCAACTGGCTAACTTGTGAATAAATGCTTTTTTAATTGTGAATACATTTAACAATGCTCAATGTTTTACTATATAATCAAGTAATAGCCTAGTTTTATGGGATTTTTAACTAAAGAATTTTCCATGATTTCTGACTTTCTCAATTATGAAAGTTTGAATGATGCAATTGCTGATATTTTCTGATGAATTTTAAAAGATGAGCTTGACTGGAGAATAGAAAAAGATGTATTTATTAATGATACTTGAATAAAGTTGATGTTTTTTAATGTTCATCCAAATTGTCTGTTGGAGCGAGTTACTGTTTTGAGCAAGCAGAACTGCTGCAGGTTCAATCCTAGACTGGCTAAAGTCGGGGAGATTATATTTGTCCTGTCCTGTAGATTAAAGAAATATTTCCACAAAATACCACACTCACCGGGGTGATTTCGCGGCGAGTGGGGAACATATTTTTTCAATTAAAAATTACATTTGAAAAAATCGCTCTGAATGTTTCTACATACATGTATAAATTTCGGTGATCCAGTTTGTCCTGTTCGACACACGTGGGATCTCACAGGGAAGGGAAAATGGTCTATTGTTACCAAATAATAGTACAGCGATACATCTATCACTGCCATATTGACATGTTAACACAAAAACAGCATTGGTATCTAAGTTGCTGACTGATTTACAACACTCTTCTCGAGATTGTTACATGATTAGAACTGGTTAGACCATGGAGGTAAAAAAAAAACTTCTTATAATTACCTCCATGGTTAGACCAAATCATTTTTCACGAGGGAGTGTCATTCGAAAATGTGCACAATTACTAGCATTATGAGAACGTCTTTTTGTTTTGATAACTTTGCCGTTGTCATACAGCAATTTATACAACCATTAGCCAGTGTATGAAAAATATTATTTCCCTTGTGTACAGAAACCTTTTGGTTGGTTCAGAGCTCCAGACAAATTAACTGCTTCCTAGGTGTATCAAGGTATATATGGCTTAACATAATAAAATTAATCACTGGGGTGATAATCTGTCATGCATAATAAAGCCATATTTATTTTGACACTTGAGCACAAACGTCAACTTCTGTCACCATCACAAATTAAAGTTGCATTTTTAGATCGTAGATCGACTATATGGGTTTGTGTAAGTCATATATGCACTTAGGGCAGATGGCGAGAAATAGGCCTGTAACGATTGCTGACTGGTGTGATTTTTGTTATTTTTTTTACAAATTTTTTCCAAAATTTTGATCAAGACAACCAAAAAATACTTAAAAAAAAGGCAAAAGGTTGCACCTACATTTTGGCAGGAAAATTTATGGCATTCAAAGGGTCAAAAGGTCAACCCACCTACCACTTCATCTTTCAAGCTATGGACAAATTTGTAATTGGTCCTAGGGAGTCTGGTACTGACTACCTATCGTTTGGCTACCAATTTTCAGCTATTATCATAGCAATAGGGG